CGCGTGTAGCATGACCTAGATCGGCCGTTGATACCCGTTTCTTCCGCGCTTTCTCGATTACAGCGTCCCGTCTCGAACGATACTTAAACTGTGCAATGATGAGCGGGCATGACGATGAATTGCCAGCAGGAACGCGATGACATACATCGATATCACAGGGAAGGATTGGTTCATCAATCAAATTGCCGATTTTTTGTAGGATTGCTGCCAGATCTTCATTTTCGACTGGGGGAACACCCTTAATCTCTATGTTTTGATTTCTAGAGTATTGTTCACAGGCCGTGAGCCGACGTTCACTCTGTTCGGCTTGGCTTCTCAGGGCTTTACACTCCTCCCGGAGGTCACCGTTGCTGTTCTTTAAGCTTGCATTTTCTTTTTTTAGCATGGCGACATCAGCCCTCATATCCTCAAAGTCTTTGTTGAAATTATCGAGACTCAGCTTGATCTCCCTGAGCTCTTTCCGAATTTCTCTCTCGAAAGAACTACGGAAATCTTTGAACTCTTGTTTTATCTCTTTTTTTAGGTCGTCACACAGTTTAGCAAAATCAGCAGTCATTGCACAAACGGTTAAGCAAACAGCACGCACAGCAGCAGGGTTGCGTCCCCGTGACGCTCAACCCCCTGTTGTTGACCGTTAAATAAACAGTTACGCATCAACCACCGACTGCGTCGGACGTCTCTCTCTCTCTCCGTCCGGGGCTCCCGCGCCCGGCCCGCCGTTCACCACTTCGGCATGTAAGACCCCTCGTTTTCCGCAGGCCCACGCAGGCACTGCTCTTCTTTATTTTCTCAGGTGTCCGCATTTTCTTTTAATTACTACATTTTTGGCGACGAGGATTTTCTTTTAATAGCAACAACTGTCAAGGTTCCTAGACGGGCATTACAAGCGAGGCGCTAGCGACATCCACCAGGTGCTCTTTGCTGATCGTTTAATTCGTTTCAAAATTCCCTTTCGAGACTTTTTTAACAAGATAATGGTATGTTCGATGTGATACTACTCCTTTGAACAGATATAGACCAAAAAATGAGCGCTGAAATTTCGTTGTAGTATCCCTTTAAACGTAACCTATACCTTACCTTCTTTTGTGTGACACTGCATATAAAACTCATTATATCCAAATTTGTCTACGAAAACTTTATTTCGTTACCTCATGAAGCATATACACCAACTCATGTTTACAAACAAAACCGGAGCGCCCCTAGCGGACGCCACCGGCGCCGCGCGTGCGCCGTGGACGGTGGGCAAGAAGCTCGCCGTCGTCCATCAACAAACCATTGAATTGCGTTGTTGTCGGCGTCGGTGTGAGCTCTCGTGTTCTTTTTCGCGTTGGAATTGTTTATTCTACGTCCTCCTAACAATGTCTAACTACTTGAGCGGCTTCAGCAAGATCAACGAGGCTCGTTACACCGCAAAACTTTGCGTCAATAATGTGATGTGCGGCGATTCAGTTCACGTGGACGCCGCAGAATGGGCGCTAAAGCCTGAGTCCCATGGTGAGATTCATCTCGCTATTTTCAGTCGTGACGCCGCTCGGGCTGCAAAAGCGTGGACCGTAGCTAAGATGGTGGACGTCGATACTGAAAACCGCAAGTAGAATCGGGCATTACAAGTCGGGGATGGCCACTGGTAACAATGATCAACATCTTCTTGTATCTGCTGTTTACACTTAGCCTACTTACCCCAACCAACCTTCAAAAGTGTTTTGAGGCCTGCACTTACTTCTTATCGCAATTACCAGGTCAACGTTTGGTTTACGGGAAGCTGTCGTTTGAACGAGCAGGCGACAAAAAGCAGACAAGTTTCAAAGAGCAGACGACAGTTTGAACGCATGCGCAATGGAGTGCGGGCAAGAAGCACCGGGTCCCACGTCAACAAACCATTGGAATGTCACGTTGTCGGCGTCTGTGTGAGTCTGCGTACTCTTTTTCACGTCAAAATTGTCGATGCTACGCCCTCATTGCTATGTCTTGCCACTTTAATTGCTTGGGCGAAATTACCAACGCTCGTTACGCCGCTAAACTTTGCGTAAATAATTTGGCGTGCGGAGGTTCACTCCCATGAACGCCGCAGAATAGACGCCAAAACCATGATGAGATTCTTCCAGCTATTTTCGGTCGCGACGTCGCTCGTGCTGCAAAAAGTGAAAGGTAACGGCGATGATCGACGTCGATACTGAAAATCGGAAGCGGGGACAGACCAAGCGTGACAAGTCGGTGGTGGCCACTGGTACCAATGATCAACATCTTGTATCTACTGTTTACACCGAGGCTACTAAGACATTTGAGGCCTTCAATTACTTCTTATTGCAATCACCGGGTCAAAGTTTGGTCTACGAGCCGATTTTGTTTGAACAAGCAGACGACAAAAAGCAGACAAGTTTGAAAGTTCAAACGATCAGGCGGCTCTGTGAATTTGAAGACGCACTGAACCCGCGGGTGGTCCCGACAGTTTGGTGGTTTTCTCTCGTTCATGTTGAAATAAAACAAATACATCTGGCGACCACAAAGTGTTGCCCGCACAAGCAGTCGTAGTTCGACAGCGTCTGGTTTGCCCTTTTCACGGCTACTATCCACGTTCTCGGACAAACGGAGGGGGCAGAAACACATAAAAACTGATCTTCAAACCTTTTCAGACTCTCTTGGTACGGCCCCCGTCGCAGCACTTTGACGAGAAGGTAGGTTTTTGTCTGGTGTCTCCCAAAGAACACAGGAATGCATGTCTCGCACAGCGACTTCTGCCCACCGCCCGAGACCGGAAGTGCGCCCGACGCGGCACCACCGCGGCGTGACGTAGGAGAGTTGAGTTCGTGTATATCATTAACAAACTCGAATCGCTTCAAAATAAAGCATCTCGTTTTATATCGCGCGACTACTCACACACACTACTACACACACATCAATCTTAACTGCAACAAAATCAAATATATAGCTTCAATCAATCCATTAATTATTTTTCTTTCACCAGGAAAGATCGTAGCTGGGGCAAAAAGCTGCAACACGTGCAGCTTGACAAGGCCCAAGTTCTAAAACAGCAGCGCGCGTACAGGGCTTTGTTCGCAAAGTCAAATCTAAAATGAAAACATTCTTGAAGTTCAGAGGGGAGCAAAAAGGAAGCAATCACAAGACTCCAATGCAACATATAACATCAGTTGACACAGTACAAATACAACACGATTCCTGAAGTTCACAACGTCGACAGTGTCATAATTAAAGCTTCAAATGGCAAGCTATGGCTAAAATCTGTTTTAGCATTCAGCTTGTTAAAAAAAAAAAAAAAGATGGAAGTATGCATGTAATCGATGTCAGTTTATAGTTTGTACGGGGTTTGGGTACACTCCACGCTTAACTTCGCCGAGTGTTACGAACGCTAGTATTTTTATTTAAATGTGTTGTTTAGAAAACAACTATGTTTATTTGTGTGCTGTTTTATAAGATACACGAGTAATGTAGGCGTGTTATACTGACAACATTAAATCGGGCAAAAAAGAGCATCAGTATGGTAAAAATACAACACATTTAACCACTCTTAGAGCTTTCCTTTTGCAGAGTCAGAAGTTTGTTTATATTTCGAATGGTAGTGGCACCCCATATCATGTGAAAATATTGAAAATATGACTGCACGAGGCCGTGAAAAATTATTAACAAATGTGCTGAAAGCTGTACGGTATCGGGATAGAGTACCAATAGCTTTTCTGGCTTCCTGGGGTATGTATTGTATGTGCTCACTTTATGATAAATGATCTGGAATGATGAAACCTAATATCTTGAATGGCTTTACTATCTCGATTGCTTCCCCGGCTATGGTGATATTTGGCTTAAAATGAACAGTCACGTTTTCGGCTCGGAACACCATGCACTTAGTTTTGTTTATGTTGATACGAAATCTATTTATTTTGTCCAAGTCATCACCCCTTTCCCGGGTGATGACTTTTTTTCTTAACCAATAGAGCAGATTCAGTAGACCTTAGTTTTCTGAAGCCGTGCTGACTGTTGGTCAACAAAGAAAAACGCTCCAAATATGCCGACAGTTTACTATGCAGTATTTTTTTTTCGAATCCCTTAAAATACTATAAAGTATTGATATTGGCTTGATAACAAGTTAATATCACCACCCTTAAATAACAAAAATTACCTTAGCAATTCGCATAAGTTTAGGAAATACCCTCAAAGACACTGAAAGATTAAATATAAATGTGAGTGTAGTAGCCAATAAGAAAATAACAAATTTAATTGGTTTAATTTTCAGGTCATTTACATCGTCTCCTTTGCTATTTTTATGCTTCGAAATGCCAACATTACCCCATTTTCTTCAGTTGGGCTTAAAAACAGAAAGAACGCGCGTGTTCCTTAATATAACCGCATGTGTCTTAACTATTACGTCCATTAAACTGAAATAGCTAAACTTGCTCGTCTTGTCAAGTTCCACAAAAACCAGCCATTCCTCTTCTTTTTGTGACCGTTAGTGTCAACCGCCACCTCACATCAATTTTCGTCATGACCACTACTTAGAAGAAAGTCCTCTCTTCGCGAAAAATAATAAATTTCGAACTTCCCCGCTTTCACGAGCTATCACTGACTGGAATTATTTCCCTTAAATAATCGTACTTTAAACCAATCAGGATAACTTCGGTGGTATTTGCAAAGCACTCCTCAAAATTATATTTTAATTGGTCACACTGTTTCTTCAAGATCCCTTCCTCTTTTTATTGCGTTTTATATGAACTGTAATACGACTTTTATTCATCATTAACGAACCTATTATTTGGATACCTTCCCTGTCATTTTTTTTTTTTTTTTGTGTGTGCTTAATCTCATCTCATGTAGTGCACCTTTTAGAATTGACTTTGAGGATTATTAAACTGAACTGAACTGAACTGCCTTGTCTTCTTTTCGTACAAATTTTTGTCTTTTGCGCTGTGTTTCTTTTTTTTTTTTTTTTTTTTTTTGGGGGGGGGGGGGGTATGAGTTGGCCGGATCTTAGCTTCAAATATCGAAATTACCTGAGTCACAAATGTGCGGAATAACGCATCCTTGCGCCCCAGGTTGGTCTTCCTTTAGGGTATAAAAGCTTGGCGTTCCGTCAGTACAGTTGTAGAAGACCTGGCCTTTTTCGGGAATCCAAAACTTCTGCTTGGGTGCCATGCAAAACCTCCTAGGTTCCTGCGAGGTAAAATCCTGATATTCAGAGCTCGTTCACACACTCCACATGTTCGTCATCGTGTTGCAAGTCACATAGACAGTTCATACTAAGCTGTGTACGTAAGGCACGGGCAGATAACTTCGAAAACTTAAAGCAAAAAAATAAGTACGCGAGCACACTCTAACGTCAAACAGCGCGATCATACAAGGAGCTAATCTATAACTAAGCTAACCACTTCAATGAGCAGAGTGAAAGAATAGGGAGCTTTGAAGTACGGAGCCCCAGCGTTAGGGGACGCCCTAAGCAATATACACGAGCACAGCGATGCTGGGGTTCTCGGGTTTTCAATAAACCCGGAAATGACACTTGAGAGAAACGAGGAAGACGAGAAAGGAGCCTCGTCTACCTCATCGGTAGATGAGGCTTTAAAACGTTTTTCCCCTTTTCTCGCTGTCTTCGTGCACCACAAGAACTGTTGGCATTAATAGGGAGTTTTCGTAGACCGCGCTGCCCCTTCCGCTAAGCGTTCCGCAACGAAGAAGTTGCTATTGCGCCTGCGCGCCGATAGCCTTGACTGTGGAGTTCCCGCTACGGGTTGCGGAGGGCCTTGCGGGACGGCGAAAACGATCTACGAAAACTCCCTAATGGCTCCTCGTCACGCAGCCGCAGGCCTGTTCATGGCCGTGGGGTAAGCCCCGGGCTTTCTTGTTACCGCCTGGAGGTAGGCGTAGGCTAAGCTCCCCGCCGTATCGTTCGGCTTTGTACTCGCCAAAGTGCAGCAACTACGGGTGCGCCTGCATGTCAGCTGCACCCCTCCGCACGAGTGCAGCTGGCTTTGTTGACAGCGGTGCTGCCGGTCTCCGGTCGTCGGCCAGAATGGACTCGTTGCTGCTAATGGCTCGTGCAAACAATGCCGCCAGCCCTGGGAAGCGCCCGTCCGACCCTTCACCCGCAGATTCGGTGTCGATGATACCCCCGGTGACTAAACTGGGCGGCCCTGCCTCTGGACAAGAATCTACCTCATCAGCAACCGGTCTTTACGAGCTGGCTTCCAAGCCTGGTCACCCTCTAGGGCCCTGCGTCTCCACCCGATCACATAATTTACTATGGCGGTATCTTAAGCTTTCATCCGTATACCGCCTAGCGTTGTCTACTGTTACAAATGCTTCCGTCCGAACCATTTGCGTTCTTCATGCCCTTATCCATCGGAATCAACCTTGGAGTCGCCAGAGGCCCCAATGTACAGGTGCGGCCTGTCCGAAACGAATGATCAGGACATCACTGCCAAGACTTGCCCAACGAAACAATGTGCTACAGTGGAACACCGCCGCCGTCGGTGCCTTAGTCGGTGCCAAAAGACCAAAGCGAACAACCAAAGCAACCGACGAACGACTGGTTACAGGCCGTGCCACCAGCTGCAGGCGCCCCACTTCCAAGCGCTACTTTCCTTGAAGAAGAAAAAGACAACAATCACAATCCTAGCTTTGACATACCACTTTCGGGCAGCCCATTATACAGTGCGTTGGCCCGACAGAACCATAGACGCCAGTAGAAAGTCCCTGACGCTCCTTCATCAGGCCAGGTGGTTGATCCGGAGCTTAGCCCAGTCGAGCTTGAGCAACGTCTACCCCAGCTTTAACAGGAGCTCCGTTGTGTAACGGAGCACTAGGCCCTTTTTCGCGCGAGCCTCCGGACCCATGAGGATATATAGGAACCCAAAGTCCTCCCCATCCTGCTCTGTCTCTGCCCGCCCCTTCTGCTCCGATGCCTCCGACGGAACTTTTACGATCTATAGCTGAACAACGGAAGATTCTGTCGACGGTACTGCAAGCTAATCTTCTCCCCGAAATTCTGCAATGGGACTCTCGAGGCTAGAAAGAGGCGCGGGTGGGAAACTTAATCAACGGATTCGCCTTGAAAACCTTTCCCCTTGGGCACTGCTTCTTTAACTCGCCCTCACGCCTCTCCGGTTTTACGGCATGCAGCACCCCACCCATTCCGGATCATTGCTGTACCACGTCCTCAACAACCCTGGTTCGGCAGCAGTGTGTTTGGACACTATACACCAACTCATGTTTACAAACAAACAAGAGCGCCCGGAGCGCCCCTAGCGGACGCCACCGGCGCCGCGCATGCGCGATGGGGGTGTGGGCAAAAAGCTAGCCGTCGCCCATAAACAAACTATTGAAATGCGATGTTGTCGGCATCGGTGTGAGTCTCCCTGTCCTTTTTTGCGTTCGAATTGTTGGTTCTACGTCTTCCTGGCGATGTCTGACTATGTCGAGCGGGTCAGCGAAATTACCGAGGCTCGTTACACCGCAAAACTTCGCGTGAATAATGTGACATGTGGCGATTCATTCCGCGTGGACGCCGCAGATTGTACTCTAAAACCTGATTCGCATGATGAGATTTCGCTCGGAATTTTCAGTCGCGACGCCTCTCGGGCTGCGAAAGCGTGAACCGTAGCTGATATGGACGACGAAGATACTGAAAATCGCAAGCAGAATCGGACCAGTTGAATTAGGCATAACAAGTCGGTATTGGCCACTGGTAACAATGACCAACATCTCCTTGTATTTTCTGTTTACATCGAGCCTGCTCACCAACCTTCAAATTTAAGTCTTTTGAGGCCTGGACTCACTTCTTATCGCAAGTACCGGGCCAACATTTGGTCTACGGACCGGCGTCGTCTAAAAGAGCAGACGACAAGCTGAAACGTTTGAAAGAGCAGACGACAATTCGAACAATCAGGCGGCCGTTTGAACTTAAAGACGCACTGAACGTAGTCCACAGGTGGTCCGCACGACTTGACAGTTTTCTGGCGTTCATGTTGGAACGAAGGAATAAATCTGATGACCACAAGTATCCGTGAATTCAACCCAAAATGCTTCCCGCCCAAGCAATCGTTGTCCGACGGCGTCTGCTTTTCCCTTTTCACGGCACATATCCTCGGACGAACCGAGCACGTGAAAACTGACCTTCAAACCTTTCTCGACACTTTTGGTACATCCCCAGTCGCGGCGTTTTGACGAGAAGGCAGGTTTTTGTCTGGTTCCTTTCAAAACAACGCAGGAATACACGTCTGGCATGGGGACTTCTGCCCACAGCCCCAGAGCGGAAGTGCGACCGACGCGCCACCACCGCGCCGTGACATCACAGAGATGAGTTCGTGTATACTCCGTTTCAAACATAGCGTGCAACGCTGGGAAAGGTACTGAAGTGGTGCGCATGAAAAAACACAAAAAAATGTGTCACTCCGCGCGTTTAGATACTGGTGCTATTCCTGACGACTGGAGGGAAGGTAAGGTCGTTCCGGTCCACAAAGGCGGCGATGCGCACTCCCCTCTAAATTATCGAACCATATCATTAACTTCTGTTTGTTGTAAACTCATGGAACACGTCATTCATTCCCAAGTTATACATTTTCTAGAACAAAACAATTTCTTTTTTCCTAATCAACATGGCTTTAGAAAACATCGTTCTTGTGAAACACAGCTTGCCGCTTTCAGCCATGACATTCATATTTCCCTAGAAACCTCTCCTCAGGTTGATGCTATTTTTCTCGATTTTTCCAAAGCTTTTGATCGTGTTTCCCATAAACTCCTACTAACAAAACTGTCCGCACTTTCCCTTGATTCTTCCGTTCTAGCATGGATTGAAAATTTTCTCTCTTACCGAACCCAGCATGTGCACATCAACAACTGCCGTTCCCGAAGCGCTCCTGTAACCTCTGGCATACCGCAAGGATCTGTTCTTGGACCCCTGCTTTTTCTTGTATATATTAATGATCTCCCCCTTTCGTTGTCCTCTACGGTCCGCCTGTTTGCCGATGACTGCGTAATCTACAGGCCCATAGCTAACACAAATGATTCACTTAATCTGCAGACTGATCTTGACCGAATTAATGAATGGTGTTCAAAGTGGCGAATGCTCTTAAATGCTTCCAAATCTAAATCCCTCTCTTTTTTTCGAACCCGTCAACACCTTCAAGCTTTTTACTCTATTGGTAACCTCAATGTTGATGCCGTCTCAACTTACAAATATCTTGGCGTTCACTTCACTCACGACCTCTCCTGGAAGACTCATATTAACAACATCATTCCCGATTCAAACCGCACTCTTGGTTTTTTACGTCGCAATCTTCGTCTCGCGTCCTCATCTGTCAAACGCCTCGCATACGTCACATTAGTACGCCCAAAGTTAGAATATGCATCATCAGACTGGGACCCTCATCTTAAATTCCTTACATCGGACATAGAATCACTTCAGAACCGTGCAGCTCGCTTTATAACGTCTCAGTACTCCAGGTTTGTCAGCGTAACTGAACTTAAACAAAACTTATCTTTGACTCCTTTATGTTCACGGAGGCGTATTGCTAAACTATGTCTTTTTCACAGGTTTTACTAGGATGACCAGCTACATAGCTCATTCATCTTGCCACCTCATCGCATATCTCCTCGTGTTGATCACCCTGCAAAAGTTGGCCTTCTCTTTACCCGAAACACAGCATTCTTTAAATCTTTTTTCCCGGCGACATCTGTGGACTGGAACGGCCTGCCTGAAATCATCGTCTCCACCCAAGACATCGGCTCATTCCGCGAATTGTTATCATCACATCTCCTATAACTCCACTCCCTTATGTAATACCCTAACTCCAGGGTTCTTAAGGTATTTAAATAAATAAATAAATAAATTTCGTGGACGAGCGGTACAAGGCGCTGCTCTGGCGATACCGACGCCTCGGTGGCGGTGGTTCAAATCCACTTCAAGCGCAAAGGTTTTTTTTTTTTTTTTTTTTTTTTTTTTTTTTTTTTTTTTTTCCCCCGACGTATTTTTTGTACAAAATTGTGCGCATTGCGATAGCGTATATTTCAATTCCTATTTTCTTGTTGCTTTTTATTTATAAGGGGGTAGACTAGGGGCTGGTGTTCCATTTGAACCCCGCGCCGGCCTCGTCAAAACGGAAGAACGGTCGAGGCAGCTGGAAAATCAGAGAGTACCTTGAGAGTGCGGTGGACGGTC